AGGTCACCTGAGCTTTGCTCAAGTGACCTATTCCGATCACTTTCCGTCTGTCCGTCTGTCCGTCCGTCGTCGTGTGAATACACTTTTTACTTTTTCAACTTCTTCTCAAGAACCAGTGGATGGAATTTTTTCAACCTTGGTCAGAATCATCCTTGGTAGATGAGGCTACAAAATTGTAAAATTGGGATTCCTACCCCAACCCCTGGGGCCAGGGGGGGCCCCAAAGGGAAAATTAATCAATATTTCAAAAATCTTCTTCTCCGGACTCAGATGTACTACAGTCATTATCTCTGCATGGATGGAAAGATCATCAAGGGCTTTATTTAAATTGTAAATTTAAGGGCCCCCAAGCTATCCATTCTCCCTTGGGGAGGGGGTAAAGTTTACTATAGTTTATATAGGGAAACAACACTATATTTTGACAATTTCTGTAGGAAATTATTCTTACTTGGAGGAAGATGGTTTTAACATGTAAAATTTGGATGTATACCCCAACCCTAGGGGCCAGGGTGGGCCCCAAAGTGAAAATTTACCAATATTTCAAAAAATCTTTTTCTCCATACTCAGAGGTACTACAGTCAATTTCAGTGCATGGATAGAAAGATCATCAGGAGCTGTATTGAAATTGTCAATTTCAGGAACCCTGAGCCATGTGTTCCCCCTTGGGGAGGGGGTTAAGTTTACTATAGTTTATATTGGGAAATAACACTTTTGGGTATATTTTATCCATTTTCAGCAGAAAATTATTCAAACTTGGTCAGAATCATCTTTGGTGGATGAGGGTATTACATTGTAAATTCCTGCCCCATCCCCAGGGGCTAGTGCGGGGCCCCAAAGGGAACATTTACCAATATTTCAAAATTCTTATCCTTTGATGACATGACAAGTATTGTATTTCAATTAGTTTACATGATGATTTCCACATCAAATCTAAACAATAAAATAAAGCTTCCAGTACCTATGATTTAACTCAGGTGACCGCTAAGGCCCTTGGGCCTCTTGTGTTAATTTCATATTACTTATTTATTGACAACAGTCCTGCAAGGTATGGTTTCCTTTCAGAAATGATTTATCAAATCATGCTGGAGAAAAAATGGTTTCTGATGCGATTAGTTTGTTTTGACAGTGGTATGGGGATCCTTAAGTTATTCCCTAGAACTTGTAATAGATCACTTATACATAATGTACAGGCAGATATCAGAGTGTTCTTTTGTCTGCCACATGCAATCCTAATACAATAAATGTGGTTCTTAGACAATATGGTTAATATACCCAGTAATTACATAATATGTTTTTCTGTTTGGTTGACTTGCGTGTTACTGTGCTATGTGATCCCACACACGAGCAGTATGCAACATAATACCTGTATAGACAACACAGCTCTCGTAAAATTCAAATTCAGGATGGAATAGTTTTATTGGATGCAAGATACAGTTTTAATACAATAATTATGCAATACTTGTACAACCTTTGAATATTCTTATATTGGAGGGCCTCGGTGGCCAAATGGTTAAGGCGTCTGACATTCTGCTACCACTAGCCCTCCACCACTGGGTCGCGGGTTTGAGGCCTATGTGGGGCAGTAGCCAGGTACTGGCACTAGGTTGGTGGTTTTTCTCCGGGAACTCTGGCTTTCCTCCACCACCAAAATCTGGCATGTCCTTAAATGACCATAGCTGTTAATAGGACATAAAACGCAAACAAACCAAAACAAATCTTATAGTGAATTCAAATTGTATTTTACCTATGGAATTTAGTGACCAGGGAACAGAGAGAACACTGAGTTTTATCATAGAATTTTACCTTCTGCATATCATATATATAAAATGTATACAGTATCTCTGTAAAATGTTTTAATTTCCAGAAATTGCTACAATTTATTACCAGGCAAGTACTTATTAAAAGTCAAACTATTGAGCAAAAGCTATATTTTGGCCTTTGCCAGGATAATTTTGCTGTAAGAGAATGGTTACCAATGCATGCTCTTAGACGGTTGTGTCCATGCCCTATATTGTACATTGGTCTTTTTGTGGCTGGATTATGGTCACCAGAGCTAGCTTTTGTATCCAGGCCTACAGTGGTACTGTGTAGATCTTTTTGGTCAACAGCTCACCTTAGCTATTGTGTCCATCATTTTCACGCAAACTTTCAACATAGGTCATTTTGTTGAAGATCAGACATGGTCACTGTGCTGGATTTTGTATTCATGCCTACAGTGCTAGCCATGGTGTTTAAACCAAGGTCATTTTGCTGTAGGAATATGGTCACCAGTACTAGTGCTAGCCATGCATTATGTTTAAACCAAGGTCATTTTGCTGTAGTAATATGGTCACCAGTGCTAGCCATGGTGTTTAAACCAAGGTCATTTTGCTGTAGGAATATGGTCACCAGTGCTCGCGATGGTGTTTAAATCAAGGTCATTTTGTTGTAGGAATATGGTCACCAGTGCTAGCCATGTTGTTTAAATCAAGGTCGTTTTGCTGTAGGAATATGGTCACCAGTACTAGCCATGGTGTTTAAATCAAGGTCATTTGCTGTAGGAATATGGTCACCAATGCTAGCCATATGGTGTTTACACCAAGGTCATTTTGCTGTAGGAATATGGTCACCAGTACTAGTGCTAGCCATGCATTGTGTTTAAACCAAGGTCATTTTGCTGTAGTAATATGGTCACCAGTGCTAGCCATGGTGTTTAAACCAAGGTCATTTTGCTGTAGGAATATGGTCACCAGTGCTAGCGATGGTGTTTAAACCAAGGTCATTTTGTTGTAGGAATATGGTCACCAGTGCTAGCCATGTTGCTTAAATCAAGGTCGTTTTGCTGTAGGAATATGGTCACCAGTCCTAGCCATGGTGTTTAAATCAAGGTCATTTGCTGTAGGAATATGGTCCCCAGTGCTAGCCATATGGTGTTTACACCAAGGTCATTTTGCTGTAGGAATATCGTCACCAGTGCTCTTAATCTATTGTGTCAATTCCAAGGCAATTTTGTTGTAGACCCAATATGGTCACCAGTGCTAGCCAATGCGTTGATGCCTGAGTCGTTTTGCTGTAGGAATATGGTCACCAGTGCACTTAAACTATTGTGTCAATTCCAAGTCTATTTTGTCGAAGGCCCAACATGGTCGCCAGTGCTAGCCTAAGTGTGTTGATGCCCAATTAAGCTGTTTTGCTGTAGGATACTCATCACCAGCTATATAAGTCTATGCCTGGTACAAGCCTCCCACATGTTTAGCCTTTATAATTTGTCACTAGATCCAACCATTAGATTTTGGACACATTTCTCTGTCAAAGGATATAAGAGTGGGTGTTTCCTCCTCAGTGCTGTACTGACTGTGTCAAACGATCAAGGTCATTTTGACTGTAAATGGATTTATAACTTGATTGTGTTTCCCCTGCCCAATCACCATAAAACACCACACAGCAAAACAACTGTGAACAGTAACACAAATTCAGCTCCCTCATGATTTGTGAATGGGAAGGTCAGATTAGACTACATACTCTAAATACTCACAAGAAAAAGAAAATCAATGAACCTTGGTGTTTTTTTGTTATGTGCAATACAGTGTGTTAATAGATAAAACTACAATGTAAAAATCCTTGCTGTATTTTCTTCAATCTATTTTCTTTAATTAGAGAATAGTGGTGACTGCTTGAAGAGATTTTTTTTTCCAATTATATAAAAATACAATTATAAACATTTTGCAAAGCGATCATTTCAAAGGCTGCGCAAGATTATTTTTTTTTATATTTTAAAATTTTACAATTTGTACAAAAAAAACCTGCTAGTATCTACAGAAGTGCCTGCTGTTTTGATGGATAGGTTATACGCTCCATACACTAAGTCCATCATGATCCATCACCAATTCCTGGGCAGCCTGTAGTTACTATAGGTGCCATAGAGTTTGATATTTTATACATACACTGTACCTCTAATTTAACAACTGGTTATGTAGACAGTTATTTTCAAAATTTATTAAAATTGATAATTTGTAAATCTACTTGTAATGTGCCTGCCATTTAGCTCACCCATCCTGTTTCCCATATATATCTACAGTGTAAATCTACCTATACATGTATTTCTAACATGTGATGTAAAAGGTAGGGATAATCAACGTATCTATGATATGGGTTACCTGTAAATCTCACAGTACCTTTTGATTTACCTTTATTTTTTACCTGCAATACTTACAGTACTTGTATACCTACTGTAGCTTTTACTTGCCCTACTCAGTGTTCTCCCCAGAATGTTTTGAAAGAAGCATGGTACATATATTTCAATATTTCTGTTAAAGCAGCACTCTATGTAAAATCAAAGCAGCAGGGTAACTTTAGATTTACTATGAATATATAGCAGAGAAGATCTAGGATAGCAGCATGGCAAGAATAATCTACCTGTAAATTGTACCTGTCATACTTACATACAGTGCATGTATATGTACTGTAACTTTTACTTGCCATACTCACAATTGCATTTAATAATCTACCTGTATTTTTTCCCGACCATACCTACGGTACCTGTGAATCTACCTGTAATTTTTACCTGCCATACTTACAGTGCATGTATATCTACTGTAACTTTTACTTGCCATACTCACAATAGCATTTAATAATCTACCTGTATTTTTTCCCGACCATACCTACAGTACCTGTGAATCTACCTGTAATTTTTACCTGCCATACTTACAGTGCATGTATATTTACTGTAACTTTTACTTGCCCTACTCACAATACCTTTTAATAATCTACCTGTATTTTTTCCCCACCATACTTACAGTACCTGTTAATCTGCCTGTAATTTTTCCCTGCCATACTTACAGAACCTGTGAATCTACCTGTAACTTTTACCTGCCATACTTACAGAACCTGTTAATCTGCCTGTAATTTTTACCTGCCATACTTACAGTACCTGTAAATCTACCCGAATTTTTTCCCACCATACTTACAGTACATGTAATTTTTACCTGATGCCTTACCTGATCTGATACCTTTACTTACAGATACCACAGTTTAATGAGACCTGTATGGACCTAAGTCTGGGAGAGAACTGTATGGTACTGAATGGATACAAGGCTGTGTACCGTCTATGTATGGGCATGGTGGCCTTCAGCTTCATACTTATGATCCTTACCTTGTGTACCCGAAGTAGTGACCAGTGGGCAGGCAACATCCACAATGGGCAAGTACTACTATTGGTCATCTCAGGGCTGACTTCATTGAGCACATAGCTAGCCTATGCTAAGTCTATCCCTTACTCTTAGGCACCAAATGAATTTGGTAAAGTCAAAGTTCATCATAGGCAATTTCCACAATGGATAAGTACAATGTACATGGTCATCTTTGTATGGTTTAAAGAGTGTACAAATTGGCTCAAGGTTATCAAGCAAACATAAAAAATATATGATAAGGTCAAGGTCAGTGAAGATAACATTCAAAATATTTGATTGATACAGATAAAATTTACACTTTGAAGTGGTTTTAGCTACATGCTACCAGATAACAAGGACTACCTCAACAAATCTATAGCCATGGTACTCCTATAGCTAGCTCATAGGATTGTTAACTGAAAGCAGAAAGGTTATCTAGTGGCATTGCCTTTCAATGTTAAATATAAACAATATTCAACAGGTATGAACTAGTGTTTTCAGTCTTCATCATTAAAATGTATGTAATGTATGTGAATGCCTTCTAAGGCAAAGTTAACACCACAGTAGTATAGGTACATGTACAGTAACGGTCAGAGTCACTGATCATGTACAGTATCGGTCAGAGTCACTGATCATGCACAGCAACGGTCAGGGTCACTGATCATGTACAGGAACGGTCAGAGTCACTGATAATGTACAGTAACGGTCAGCGTCACTGATCATGTACAGTAACGGTCAGAGTCACTGATCATGTCCAGTAACGGTCAGAGTCACTGATCATGTACAGTAACGGTCAGGGTCACTGATCATGTACAGTATCCATCTGCAATATGTTCCATATTTGGCTTACTGTCGCAAATATTGATGTAACATTCAAGATTAAATCTAATGAGAATCCTTCTATATTCTAATATCTAATCAGATTATTCCTTAATTGTGATGGTACAGTAATGACCATATTTAACATACCTGATGCAATACAGTTCCATTAAAACACCATTCCCTGTTATTTTTAAATTCAAAACAACAAAGACAATTCTGTTTGATCTTTTTGTGTGGTTTCTTTTGGTGCTTGCAATATTTTAAAGAAAATATTTAACCAGTGGTTGAAAGCCCTTTTTTGTAAGAACAAGGTCATATTTTGTGTGCTTATCATTTCTGTATTAGGAGACTATCATCAATTAGTTAAAATTGTTGTGAATTTGAATACCGGGATATGTCACAACAAGAATGATCCCATCAGCATGACATAAGGATCTAAACGGTGTCGTATTTGAAGACATTCAGTGTAAAAGTTTTATGTGCATCTTCAAAATTCAAGGTGAGGCTTTCCCAATATCAGAGACTTTGATTTTGTTATTTGAAAAATTTGATGTTGCAGAGAAAATATGCATAATTCACTGTTTTCTCTAGAAGGGGTGGGGGGGACCTATATTGCACTACCAATACCCCCATTTGTTTCAAAGCTCGAAAAATTACTGTTTATTGCAATTGGATCCTTTGGATTTTAAAGATGCTCTTTTTTCATGTCAGCATGTTGATATGTTGTATAGCTGAAATGTAGATATATTGGCCAATGATTGTATACAATTGTAGAAATAGATGTGTACGACATTAACTCCAGAAATTTGTTTACACAGGTTCTGGCTGCTGAAGCTGATACTGTTGGTTGGATGCTGTGTCGGTTCATTCTTTGTTCCATACCAATACAGTCAATGTGAGTATTTCAACATAAAGGTATTATCGTTGTTTATCATCAAGCTCGAAGTGCTGTTTGAAATTTGCCAAGCCTTGATATTTTGTAACTAAGACTTGTGCTACGTTGCATGTGTTTTGTGTAAGAGTTAACTCCCTTTAAAAAACCATCATCTGATAATTCAAAAATGTTGTGATTATTATCAGTGTTGATCCATACAGTCTTGTGAATCTTTTAATGTATTACCATTCACAATAGATACTTTACAAGTGGAACTCTGTTTTAAAGGAGGTGCATACCACAGTATTTAAAGCATTTAGATTAAAAATGCATAAATGTGAAAATGTGTCACTGCAATGGTAACTACTGATAAAGAGTGTTTTATTCTTTGAGTTAAGAAGCATGTATGTATTCTAATAGATAACGTCTCCTTCTCCTTCAGACTGGCTGTACGTAGGAATGGTGGGCGGCTTTATCTTCATCCTGTTCCAACTAATCCTTCTTGTTGACTTCACACATTCCTGGAATGCCAAGTGGTAATGATTTTGTTAGCTCACCTAGCTGAGCCTATCAAAGTCCATGTGAATGAATGTCCTGACGCAGTTTGCCTCACCCAGCTCTGAGCTGTCAACTTGTTTTGCCTCTGCCACATATGGGAGGGGGTACTTGAGTGTTGCCTTTTTTATTGGACCATCTGTTCTGTGTGTATGACAGCTTGGCTCGACTTTGGGTTAAGCTCCATTGCTGTAATACTTGAAGCTCAAACTGCCATCAAAAACTTCAAATGTGGATATATCTCGAGTAAAGTACCACACTAATATATTAAATTTAGGTCACTGACCTACATTTTTTCTGTGTCTTGCTTCATTCCATTGGTTAGACTTTGGTTTTAGCCCCGTTTCCATCAAAGTAGGATTGGAGGCATACATTTACAAACATCTTGTAGTTTTTAATTTCAAATTGATATAAATGTATATGTGAAGGGAATTCAGTTTGGTTGACATGATGAAAGGTAAAAAATTAAAGGAAGGGCTACGACTCCTTAAAAAAAGTCCTGATATATGACATACCGGTACCCCTTTTGCTTGCATGTTACCAAGGTACATGTATATGGATTTACTTAAAAAATCTCGCTGATCACCATGACCTGCTTTACAGTACTGTAGTAAAAATCATGTACATGTTACACCATAGTAAAACATCACACACAATCATAGTAAAATTCTATAGCACCATATATAGTCGAATTGTAAGTGCTGCAGGGTTATCATGTTCTTATATATTTATATTCCACTCAGTAGTTTGACTTGTAAGTTTTTCATAGGGCATTGGTGGGTCAGGTAATAATTATACACTGTAATGACCTGTTCACAGACTGGAGAAACTGAATTTTTCTCAAGATGAATATATTTGACCTTGAAGTCAGAGTTCAACCTTTTGATCGATATCATTGTCCAAGCATTAAAACAACGTAATATGTAGTATGAAATGAATTGAGGTTCTTTTTTTTAGCTCACCTGGTCCAGAGGACCATGGTGAGTTTATGCCATACCGCAGCGTCTGTCGTCCGTCAACTTTTCCTTTAAAACGCTACTAGTCCTGAATGGCCAAGTAGATTTTGACTAAATTTGATCTGGAGCATCTTTAGGTCAAGTGGACTCAATTTTGTATAAACAGTGGGTGTGGCCCCCCTGGGGAAGAGGGGCGGGGCCCAATTAGGGAAATAGAGGTAAAACCTTTAAAATCCTTCTTCTACCGTAGGGATTAAGGGATTTTATCCTTATTTAGTCTGGAGCATCTCTGGGCCAAGGGGGCTCAATTTTGTATAAATGGTGGGTCTTGCCCCCCTGGCTGCTGAGGGGCGGGACCCAATAGGGTAGGTATAGCAAATTCTTAAAAATCCTTCTTCTTCTGCAAGAATGAAAGGATTTGATTCATATTTGGTGTGGAGCATCCTTGGGTAAAGGGGAGCCAATGTTGTATAAACAGTGGGTGTGGCCCCCCCTTGAACCTGAGGGGTGGGGCCCAATAGAGGAAATAGAAGTAAAACCTTTATAATCCTTCTTCTACCATAGGCATTAAGGGATTTTATCCTAATTTAATCTTGAGCATCCTTGGGCAAAAGGGACTCAATTTTGTATAAACAGCAAGTGTGGCCCCCCTGGGGGCAGAAGGGAAGTGCCCAATAAGGGAAACATAGCAAACTCTTCAAATACCTTCTTCCTCTGTACGAATGACAGGATTTTGTCTTAATTTGGTATGAAGCATCCTTGGGCAAAAGGGACTCAATTTCGTATAAACAGCAAGTATGGCCCCCTTTGGGTGCAGAAGGGAGGGGCCCAATAAGGGAAACATAGTAAATTCTTCAAATACCTTCTTCTTCTGTACGAATGACAGGATTTTGTCTAAATTTGGTATGAAGCATCCTTGGGTGAAGGGGAACCAATTTTGTATAAACGGTGTGTCTAAACCCCCTGGAGGCAGAGAGGGGGGCCCAATAGGTGAAATAGAGGTAAAACCTTTAAAATCCTTCTTTTACCATAGGGATTAAGGGATTTTATTCTTATTTAGTCTGGAGCATCCTTGGGCCAAGGGGACTCAATTTTGTATAAGCAGTAGGTGTGGTCTCCCAGGGGGCAGAAGGGCGGGGCCCAATAGGAGAAATAGAGGTAAAACCATTAAAATCCTTCTTAAACCATCGGGATTAAGGGATTTTATCATTATTTAGTCTGGAGCATCCTTGGGCCAAGGGGTCTCAATTTTGTATAATTGGTGGGTATGACCCCCCTAGGGGCATAGGTGTGGGGCTATGTTTGAAGTTTGTTCTCGCTATATCTCAAGTACTGGATGGATCTTTCTGAAATTCATGTGTACTTACAGCACCTACCATGGAGTGTTATATCTTTACTTCATACCAATTATTTTAAACATATTCAGGTGAGCGATACAGGCCATCTGGGCCTCTTGTTCAAATATGAAAAAGAGAGTTAAATTTAATTGATATAAATTTAATGTATAGTTATTGTTTTTACAGGCTGAATGTGAAGGGAGGGAAAAGAAGTACATGTGGTTATGTTGGTAAGTTCAAATTTTAAGGTGAAGACTACAACATTACAACAATATGCAGATGATATTCTGACATTAAGAGGAAAAATAATGAAAATTTTACGATCAAGTACAGAAATGTTGGTTGGAACCGGACTTGACCATAGGAAAATAACTAAAAATTTATCCCAATATGTTAGCTTTTTATCCAGAAATTCTCTTTCAATGTATCATTGAGTGATGATGAAGCCTAAGTATGTAAGGGCATGGTGGTGAATTCAAATTGTCTTATTATATATGTCTCAAATCAAGGGTAATTTTCTCAAGTTACCACTACACTGAAATGCTGATCTGATTGGATCTTCCTTGCTTGTTTCAACATGAGCATGAAGCAAAGATACCCTGAATGTTTTTAGATAATCATGGATTGCAGTGACGCGGATCAATTTTAGATGACCGTTACTTTCATTTGTCCTTTTTCCCTGATCGTTTGTAGGTACCCTGATGTGTGCAACCATCTTCTACATGGTGACCGTGGTGGGCCTTTTTATGTTGTACTTTAATTACACAAGTCTCAAGGGCTGTGTGCACAACAAGGTTTTTATCGGAGTCAACGCCGGCCTGTGTATCATCCTCTCCGTTCTCACCCTGCTCCCGGGCATCACCAAGTGTATGTTTCTTACTTCAATACAAACTTATATGTTTAAATATAAAAACAAATGTATCATTATTACAGATCACCTTGACCTGATTTACGATAAAAATTCTGTACATGTTACACCATAGTAAAACATCACACACAATGATCGTAAAATTCTATATTAGATACTGCTGCTCTGTATGATTAATGGATAATTATACCAGGTACTGGTCGTTTGTTGAAACTAGATTGCATTCAGGTAATTAAACCTAGTCTAATGTACATGATGACAAGCTAAATGTCTACATATATATACAGAACATATTGTCGATACAGAAAAATCGAAGTGCTATTTAACTGAGTATTCTTAATTATTAATCAAAATACACAATAGTGTCAACAAGTTTAGAATTTTGATATTAGAATTAATGGAATTAACTGTAGAATAGAATAAATCTTAAATAAAACATGTTTAATTTCTTTGCTATGCAGTTGTATTCTGTTTCGACCAGATACAGGAAAACATGTCAATCTCACTTTCAATTAATACAAGAAATATAAATGTTGAAATATGATTTTCATTAAATTTGCAAACTTTTCATTGTGCGGAATTATGTTTATCTACCATATGATATAGTGTTTATATGTTAACTCTGAGCGATTGTATTACAGTCAACCCTAACACAGGGACACTGCAGTCATCTGTGATCAGTCTATATGTGGTTTACCTCACCTGGTCAGCACTGTCCAGTGAACCGCCGGAGGAAAGTAAGTACCAAAATAATAATTGTTCTCGTACAGTCAAACCACATCTTGAAAGTCATTGAGAACAGACAAATCAAGTTCAATATTTATCCCAGTTCAAATTCCGTATTGATGATATACTGTATACCGGGAAACTTTGGCCCTTTTCCGATAACATCCATGTTTGCCAAGTGTTTGCCAAGTGTAAATTTCACCTTTTGCATATAATTACCGGGGTACTACAGTGGAACCTGCTTATTATGATATTCTATTTGCCAAAGAAAAGTATATATATATATTACATTTAGTGTACTAATATTCGCTGTCATGTAAATTCACCCTAATTGGGGTGAGCATAAAAGATGAAGCTTAAACTACGGCTAAAAAATTCTGGAAAAGAGTATATCCTATTTAAAAATATATAGTCTTTGACATACCTATGCCCCGATTGGGGAAAAAAATTGGCATTCAATGTACAAGTTAAAACACACAATATTTGATATTTGTAGCCCAGCTACCGTATAATGCACTGTGTTCAAAACAGATCAAATTAAAAGTACATGATGTTGGATATATATCTAAGTAAAGAGTACTTGGTACTGAGCATGATTATATCCCAGATAAAAATGCATAGCAACAAAATTACCAGGGTACCAAAAAGTGACTTCAAGGGAAAGAAAGTATTCTAGATTATCAAACTTTGAATTATTTAAATTACAAATTCGACTGTATGTATTTTGAATGGAGAAAAAATCATGACTATCAACTCACATGCTAACACTAACAAACAAAAATCGAATTCTACAGCGGGAGTGTCAGATAGAAAAATTGTTTGTAACTTTCCTTTATCTTCCAGTCTAGGTATTATAAATGTGTATTCACGCTGATATATTGTACTGTGGTCAGATGTTGGATATAAATTTTGATCATTCAAATACTAATTTCAGAAATGAATTGTATCAAGTTTATAAGGTTATTTATCGATTTAAATGAGATACCTTTATGACTTTTCAGTCAACATACTGGAGACGGTAAGAACCCTCATCCTGGCAAGTATGTCAGCAGGAGATCGAGATTCGACCAGCTTGCAGACGACAGCACAGCCCCATCTGAGGATGGAATATGTGGCTGACCCTAGTGAGAGTTTCCATGTCATGGCCAACACCACCAAGCACATGTGTCGGCCCAAACCTACCTTCCAGGACATGGACATGATATCTGCCTATGCTGGACTGTTTCTCATGTTTGTCATGGCCATATACTCTAGGTAAATTGTCTTTTTACATATCTGCCTATACAAGATTGTTTCTTATAATATATTTGACTTGGCCTTACACTTTAAGTAAATGACATGATATCTGCCTTCCTGGACTATGTCTATGCATTTTTAAGCCATGGTGCGGCGTCTGTCGTCGGTCTGTCCTTCCCTCTGTCTGTCGTCTGTCCAGTGTCAATTTTTTACTTAAAACAACTTCGTCTGAATAACCAAGAGGCCCAGGCTGATGGTATTTGGCCAGTAGCATGGTGGGATGAAGGGCTACCAAGTTTGTTCAAATGAACGACCTTTGCCCATTTTCAAGGTCAATGGGGTCAAATATGTTCAAATCTTCAAACAACTTCTTTTGAATGACCAGAAGGCCAGGATGATGATATTTGGCCAATTACATGCTGGGATGAAGCACTACCAAGTTTGTTCAAATGAATGACCTTCACCCATATTCAAGGTCACTGGGGGGGTCAAATATGTTTAAACTTTTAAACAACTTCTTCTAAATAACCAAGAGTCCTAGGTTGTTGCAATTTGGCCAGTAGCATGCTTCGTTAAAGGGTTATCAAGTTTGTTCAAATGAATGATCTTCGACCTTATTCTAGGTCACATGAGTCAATTGTCTTTAAAACCTTTAAACAACTTTTTCTGTATAACCAAGAGGTCCAGGTTGTTAATATTTGGTCAGAAGGATGTTGGAATAGGGCTACCAAGTTTGTTCAAATGAAGGACCTTTGCTAATATTCAAGGTAACAGGGGTCAATTGTCTTAAAAACCTTGAAACAACTTCTGAGGAATATCAAAAGGACCAGGATAATGATATTTGCCCAGAAGCATGCAGAAATAAAGGGCTACCAAGTTTGTTTAAATGAATGACCTTCGCCCATATTCAAGGTCACACAGGTTTGAATAACCAAAGGGTCTAGGGTGATGATAATTGGCCATATGCATGCTGGTATGAAGGGCTTAAGAGTTTGTTTAGATAAAAGACCTCCTCCAATATTTAACGTCACAGGGGTCAAATATGTTGAAATCTTTAAATGACTTCTTCTTAATAATCTAAAGCTCTATGGTGATGATATTTGGCCAGAAACATGCTGCGATGAAGGGCTTCAAATTTGTTCAAATGATTGACCTTTGCCCATATTCAAGGTCACAGGGGTCAATTGTCTTAAAAACCTTTAAACAATTTCTTCTGACTAACCAAAATCTCCAGAGTGATGATATTTGGTCAGTAGCATGCAGGGATGAAGGGCTACCAAGTTTGCTCAAATGAATGACCTTCACCCATATTCAAGGTCACATAGGTCAATAGTCTTAAAAACTTTAAGTCCAGACACTGACATTTTGCCTGTAGCTTTATTTCAGTCCACTATTAAGGTTACAATTGTGAGCAATGAAGGCCCATTGGGCCTCTTGTTTAAACATTTATGGTGGCACGAAAGACAGTCCCACTTGAACATATTTCATGATGCATGGTAGTGAAACTTTTGAACGAAACCGTTGCACACCATCATAATTGTCAAAAAGCTGTATTTCAGTCATTTTTATGTTCCAAACATCAAGGACAATATTAGTTTATCCTTCTTTATAGTCTCATTTAGTACATTTTAAACAAACTTGTTTTACCAAATGGCAGAACAACCATTTTTCCAGAAACAATATCATGCTTTCTGTGAATACCAGTTCTGTTCGGCAGTAAACATAAATTTTAATCCATTTGGGATTTCCTAGGAAATGTAAATATTGTATTTGATAATTATATAAATAATTTGTCTGTTAAATATGGATCTTTTAATGTTAATCTCACTATCTTTCCAGTCTTGCCACATCCTCAGACTCTCACAAGTTGGGAGTGCCTCGGCAGGCAGACCAGGTGAGTACAACACCTCAGTTAAACCTGCAAATAATGTATGATGATGCAGTTGCAACTTGGTGTACCTCAATAGAAAGCCTGTCACGTCACAATTTTCCTCGAGAGCGATTTGATACAAGATTTGTTGTATGAAGAGATCAGGAGGCTATCGTATATGCTGGTACCGATACTTACTAAAACAGGTGTCATTCAATGGTTATATTAAGTACAGACAAGGATTTGAAGTTTTGGAATGAATATTTAATAATATTTATAGGCTGACAGTTAGTCCCTGGCTGCTGTATTTGCAGCTAAATATCCTATTTACAGTGTATAAGAATATAATTCGTTTCATTGAAACATTGGAAGCTCCATAAACTCTAAAGAGAAATATTTCAAGAAAACTTCCTCAAGATTTGGTAATTGTGGCATATATGCAGCATTAGCACAAGATAAGCTGTATTTTTATTTATTAGAGTACTTTTATATCCACATTTGATTTTGTTACAGGATGTAAAGCACTATGAATGTTGTTGTTGCTGTCCTGTCAAGCCAAGTAAGTGTACACCACATGATACGATAGGTGAACAAGGGGAAGCAACTGTGTGTAATGTCGTATGTTTATATTGAAAGCTGTATACATAGACTTTTGTTTTATATTTCCTTTATGTCCTCAAATTTCCTAAGCTGTTAATAGGATATGAAGCAAAATAAAACCAAACAATATTCCCATATACATATACATATATAGGATCTGAAATGAGTTCTCATCAAAATCTTTATGAATTAGGTGTTAAGGTTTTCAGTCGCTCAAAGCTTTATTGATGGTAATAATGCATTTGTATCACATTACCAAGCATGTGTGAGAATGTTCATAGAAAACATCTTTTCTCTAACATCAGAAATTGTCATAATGCCATTATATTCAGTTACTAAAACTGACACTGCTGCAATAAAAACTATGGTACGGTACATTACAATTGATTAAAGATAGACAAAATTTTACTTGTTTGTTTTAGGAAAAAACCCAACAGATCATGGAGGTCAAAAGGTCAAATATAATGAGGCAGGAGGCACTAAGTACAACTATGCCTTCTTTCACTTTATATTCTGTCTGGCCAGTCTGTACATCATGATGCAGCTCACCAACTGGTACAGGTGAGTAACAGGTGGTACAGGTGACTATTACATGAAGTTAAGAAGTACAGGTGAGTAACAGTTGGTACAGGTGAGTAACAGGTGGAACAGGTGAGTAACAGTTGGTACAGGTGAGTAACAGGTGGAACAGGTGAGTAACAGTTGGTACAGGTGAGTAACAGGTGACTATAACATGTAATTAACAAGTACAGGTGAGTAATAATTGGTACAGGTGACTCATGCATGTAATTAACAAATATAGATACTAAAGTAAAAGGTGGTACAAATTAGTAAAAACTGTTACGGAATGAGAAACAGCTGGTACAGGTAGGTAAAAGCTACTACAAGTGAGTAACATGTGAAACAGGTGACCGTATGGTGTAGATAACAACATGGTCTTCATTAAAAATAAATGACAGGGAAAATCTCCTACCTCTTCACAACAGTCAACATTTTATTGTTTTTAGTGTTTGATTAAGAACAGCTTTTCAAACATTCGTAAAGTAAAAATTAAAGTCAAACAAGAGCTTTCAGTTCACAACATGGATCTTGATCACTGGACTGCCTCTAGATATTATAAGGTACCAATTTACAGCTCCTCCGGGAATATTCTCATCATGGAAAAGGTTGAAAAGAAGGTGTAAACCAGGGTTAAACAGTGTCCCTGCCATCTTACATGTGTATGGTATGAGAAATATTGTTTTGGTCCAAATATGACATCATGGTACAAATACATGTAGCGTAATCTGTTTAACCTAATTTTCAGACCAGCAGAATCTAATGTGGACATGTTTGGCCTGAACTGGGCTGCTGTGTGGGTGAAGATGACCTCCAGCTGGGTGTGTGTAGTGGTCTACATATGGTCTCTCTTCCTCCCAAAGCTTTGTCGGGGCCGCGACCTCACCTTCATCCGACAACCTCAGCCTGACGAACAGCTGGACGAGATTGACCAGGAGGAACTAGACAATCTCAACGGACCAATCAATCCAGAAGCTGTGGTCACTTCGAGAGAATCAGTTGTGTAGTGGTCAAGGTCTTGGCGTTGGTCATTGCTTGCATCACTATCATAGTCAATGAATGAATCAAATTCATCAATTCACTCCGATACACTGATTAACTACATTTGTAGGAGTCGTATATTAACATATTAGATCATGGAGTGTTTTCAGTGTGTAAAAGATAACCATCATCAATTTCATTAGAAGTAAGTTGGACATATCAACGGCATATACGATATGTACACTAGGCTGTCCTTAAGGTGTTTGAAGTGATCCTAAGTCCATTATATCATCTTCATTAAAACACGACAGATACAGGAAAATCCCCTTTCTGCAGTGTACAGTCGACTTCAGCTGAACCTTTTTCTGCAAAGAAAGCACTGTAGCTAATGATCATTGAACATTGTCATTAAGGCCATATATCTGGTAGAGATCACCATAGATAGCCATCACTGACCAGTGTCATTAAGGCCATATATCTGGTGTTGGTTTCCATAGATAGCCATCACTGACCAGTGTCATTAAGGCCATATATCTGGTGTTGGTTTCCATAGATAGCCATCACTGACCAGTGTCATTAAGGCCATATATCTGGTGTTGGTTTCCATAGATAGCCATCACTGACCAGTGTCATTAAGGCCATATATCTGGTGTTGGTTTCCATAGATAGCCATCACTGACCAGTGTCATTAAGGCCATATATCTGGTGGTGATCGCCATAGATAATAAATATTGAACAAGGTCTGTCAGTTAGATGCAAGTTTAAGTATTTGTTTAAATTTCCATCTTTTTGACTGCGTATACGGTAGTATGAATGCAGTTGGCAACGAACATATTCTTTATGGAGCGCACTACCGTATACGCAGTCAAACTGAAGATCAATTCTTATATTTACATATTTTCGTACTATGATGGTACACTCAGAATAAAGCTAACTCCAATACATTTGCTTTTATAATGGTACAAAGCCTCCGTAACGTGCGTAAATCCAAACAAATGAACAGCCTACAGCCTGCGAGCAGCGATGGGTCTACAAGGAATCTCACTGCGTATACGGTAATGTATACACAGTCACGGTTTACACAGCTTCAATGGGAGCGAATGTAAATATGCATTGATGTGTCTGCCATGTCTTACAAAGACAAAGTTATTCCATGACTTTTACATGTTCATCTAATTGTCCTCCATTTTCTGTTCCCAAACTATTCCTCCAAAACATTTGTATTTGAAACACACAATTAGAACATAGTTGCAAAACTATTTAGATTTTGAATTTGATTAAACAATCATACTATGAATTTCAGGATTACAGAATAATTTTGATATAACTATTTTGTTAATCTGTTTTTAATTATCAACTAAGGAAAGAGTGCTGCATCAAGTGTCATTTTACTGGTACAAAATACAAGATTGTATCAATTTATTGAAAAAAATACTAGAATCTCATATCAAGTTACTGGCCAACTGTCTTGTTTATTGAGGTTGCAATACATTTGTCGTATTTTTATTCAAACTCCTCATGTTTTTATATCCGGTTGTTTTTTTGATAAAAAATTCATTGTATATATTTTCACATTTTCTTCATAAACATGGGATGTTTTCTATTAAAAAAAACGAATACAACTTTATGTAAGAACAATTTCAGTTCTTCCAAATTCGCCAAGGTGTCTTGCCTTAATCATAGCAAACTTGGTACAAATTGGTTTCACAAATAACGAATCAGTTTTAACACAGTCAGTAACTTTTTTATATGATGATAATGTCATTAACATTTTATTTGACAGGATATTTATAAGAAATATTTTCAGATTCTATACACTGTTTTACTTGGACATTGGCACAAGGCAAAAGTATCCTGAGTGTCCTTGTTGGATGCTTTGTATCCAGTTTGTTTCATCACCTTGACAGATTTTATATATAAAGTTTTATTTTTATCGGGGAAATGGTTATTTATCCCATTGTTTAGATAGAGGTTGTGTAACAGCATGATGGACATCAATTATTCAGTTTAGTGGAAATAGTACGGTACAATGTTAGGAGGGGAAATCGGAGAATTTAGTGCCATAAAAATATTCAGGAACGACACAAATTTGTAAATAAGTGCAATATTGTAACATTGATATGTTGTACGTTTTACTTAACAGTGTCGTTTGAGTGTTGTATGAACAGGTTCATTTTGTGAAGGACTTTTACCGTTTTCTATAAAATATAGATTTTCTCTTCTTGTAGTGTTAACAAGAATGTTTGGTTATCGATGTAATTGTATTTTAACCTGAAATGGGGTTCAATGCTAAAGTTGACCTTTCATAGCAAATTTGATCAAACTTTTTTTAATGTAATATTGAAGATTCACAGCCTATTCGAAAGAAACAAAAATCTTATTTGTTTGATATTGAGCGAGAAATCAAAATCATTTCATTAGTTTTCTATGCAAAATGTGTTTTGAAACAAATATCTTAAACAGATATGCCTTTCTAGTTCAGGGAAATATAGATCAAAATTGAAATAATTTTGGCATTCTTGAATATCGTTACATGATTTATATTTGTACTTGTTAGTTTGTATTGTATTGTTAATATCAAATTCAATATCAACTCTTTTTTGATAATATTAGCAAAATAAAGTATATATATTAGTAAGTTTCATACGAATATTACATAAAAGAATGATACAAATATAGATTTATGTTTCTCTATTTTTCTCAAAATTCTATTCAAGGATTAACCTTATTGAAATTCATGTCATTGTAATTTGACCATGAGTGTATGTATAGTCATATTTGAAATCACTAGATAGTTGAAGATATTTATGTACGAAAAAGAAAATTATATTAAAATCCTTAAAAAATATGTTGTCTTCCAAGATTCCAGCACTTCCTAAGTTACCCTGCTTCTTCAGCTTTGCTGGTCAGTTTATCTTTTGCATTGCTTGTAAAACTAGGACATCATAGAGAGCAACGCTACTGTTGATGGTTTTTGTTATGCAGAGAGTACAGTTATTACTATTTTGTAAATTGGAATATATGTATAGATACCTTTAACTATTTGATTAATTTTATTACGTTTAATTGCTCAATATCATTATCATAATTGCATAAGGCCAGTGTAAAAATAATCATATTTCGTGTAATGTGTATTTATAACAAGATTCTGGAAAAGTAAGATTTTTAAAAATAGGTAATACGGAGTTTTTACATAAATGTAATAGCTCAATTACCTTGATTTCATCAGTAATCAAAATCGTTTACAATTTCTACAAAGAAAAGAGTTATACTATATAGTTAAATGATTTCAAATTCTGATTTATGTTGAGGATATCTGACCCAAAGAAAAAAAATTGATAACAGGTTTAATTTTATTAGAAAAATTCACCCATCTTTTCATGCAGTCAACATTTTTAAAAGATCTTTTGGATATAGTATAGATACAAGTTTTTCTATGATCCAATGATTTTTTTTTCAAATGAAATAGGCATAGTTCTCAAAAATGCACATTTTAAATTAAGCAAAAAGTATATATCTCAGTTTGAAATATTTATGATGTTTTTCTAAAATGTTTCGAGTTAATCAACTCTAGATGATTGTTGAATTCAGTCAGAGAGCTTGAAGACATTTTGTGAAAAGTGATCCACTTTGGGTTCTTCCCCATCACAATTATCTCCTTCCCGATTTAATGAATTCATAACATAAGTTAAATAAAACTACCATTTTCTGCTATATAGATACTGTAACCGATTTTATGATATTGTGTTGCTTCTAGATTTGTTGAATGATCACAGTTGTGGCAGGCATGTTTATGAAAAGGGGAGGGACCACTTCACAGCTTCTGAAAGATGCATGTGAAGGACCGGTGGTATAGCACATATAGTACATTACTAGGAGCGTAAAGAATACTGGTAGATTGTACCCAAACTATGTATCTGAAGCACTGCAGTGATAGAATCAGGGTCCATATGCCAAAATGAATGGGTTTTATATGTTGAATATCACAGTTCATATTTTTGTTGATTTGTTAAATATTCTGTTATTACGTTTTTCAGAAAGTTTTAGAATATACACATGCAAAGTTTGCTTTAATGTATAGAGTGGTGGGTCCAGGGATTTCAATTGGCCTCAGGAAACCGAAGTGTCCATCTGCTAATGCAAAACTTATATAGGCTTAATAAGCATGTTGTCTGATAATTTGTTTTGCAAAAATAACATGAATTGAATTGAAGTAACTGATCTAATCCTGTGTACTAAAGCTGGATTACCCCTGTATTTCCAAATCTCCCTGTATCGTTTTAGTAAATGCATGTGGCAGGTATGCTTAAAGTACATAATGTTTTTTTATCAAAAAGTAAATCATTGTCCTATTAACACATTGGCAAGTGTTAACATTGGTAATCAAGATATTGAAATCTTCAAGTTGAACAAAGCACATTTTGTTCACGACAGAATTACTATGTAAAATCAAAACAGGAAATGGAGTGTTTTTCTTCAGAATTTGGTATATTATAAATTACATATTTTATATTTGTATTGTATTTTACTGTGAATTAATCTTCAGACAAGTATCACAATCTAAATATTCTTGTTTGTATCATGTTCGTCTTAATTGGTAAAACTACACAATTGTTTTTTGAACTTACATTGCTATAGATGTTTTCTTATTTATCTTTAACTTTCTCTAGTTTTGTTTTTTATCAAAAGTTTAATGATTAGAAAATGCTCTGCTTTAACCATAGTGCATTGGTTTCTTATATGATGTAATTGTAGTGTATTTACATTTTATCCATTAAGGAGACCTGTCACCCATTTTTGCTTTGTGAACTAAGCAACACTTTTAATTTTAGTCACTGGAAGCGTTTACTTAGCGTAGACTGTGTGCAAGTGCAATATTTGTTTTATTTTGTAGCTAAAATGTATTGCTATTTATGTTAGTTTGTGATTTATATATGTTTGATTAGCAGTCAACTTGTACAGGTTCTCATCTTTTACAGAAAAAATTTGCTGAAATCAAGAAAATATTGTCCATTCTAATTGAATCAGTAAGTTGTGTTGATAATTTGATGTAGGTATATAACATACATGGATAATTGATGATTTCTTGATTAATGCTGTTAGCAATATTTCGTACAGTTTATGAGACATTTAATTGTAGTTGCCTCCCCTGATCAGGTTGACATTGCATCGACTTGTTATACGTGCAATATAGGTATTGAAAAGTTGGCAAAGAATATACCGGTAAACGTCATCTAGATGACTTTTTTTCATTTGGTTGTTTGATTTTACTTATACATGAGGTTGATATCTGTTTTCGGTTTGTTTACCTTATCTTTTTAATTAGTTTGTTAATATAATGCAAAAGTGAATCATTTGATCAATTCCCCCTGCTGGTGGTTTTTATAAGTAATGTAAAAATACATCAGGATAATGGTTGAAGCTGATCTTGTATAATTGTGTATACTTTGTCCATTTGTTTTACTTTATGGTTGAAATTCCACGCAGTTAAACTCACGTTCACCTGTTGATCGATCCAGAAAATTCAGTAACAGAAAAATGAATCATTCAATTATTTTGTACACAGTAAAGGAAACCTTTGCTTTGTAACAGTACGGATAGAATGACTGTACTACACGTTCTAGTCGTGTAAGTATTTCGTGGTGTCATTTAAGCAGTTGTTATTGTCCGTCTTTTTTTTCAATGAGTTCACGGAATTAAGTCACTTTATTTATCTGGAATACATGACAAGCATTAAATTGTATGTAGCAGTTTTGTGGGGGGAAAACGTGTTTAAATGTTGATGTAAATTCATGTTATTATGCTTACCTTATCATGATGAAGTTATTTGTTTATAGGTTAACATGAATTTCACCACTGAAGTTTTTCTGTATCTAAAGTTTTCTACCACAAGGTTGTCAATGAGGGAAAGAGTTGATGAAATATGTCATGAGCAGAGCAAAAAAGTTTTTTTGTTACCGTTTATAAAGAAAGCTGATGTAAAGCATGATATTAAAAACTAGACGTAATTCAAATTCCAGTTCATGCTAGGTCATTGCTTGTTTTTGTCTATATCTAACCTGGATGTAATGCCGTCGATTTCAGCTGTGTGTAAAATCTTTACACATTATAGACATCGGAACTATATATGTATAACAGCGTTTTTTAAGACGCCAAAAATATAATCCTGGTATAAGCGATGTTTGAAGAATGATATTCACCACATCCATATAAATAATTGTGGTATAAGCGATGTTTGAAGAATGATATTCACCACAGCCATATAAATCGGACATACTTACTAAGTGTATCACATGTCAGAGCTTTGTTAAACATAGCCCGGAAGAAAGATTTAAATAATATATACTGTATCTTTCATTAGAAATGGAGATTTTATGCCAGATGGAGCTTTTGTACGCGATTTTATTTTACCTATAGA